AGACATATCTAAAAATAATATATTTTAATACAAAATCTATTTATTACAGCATAAAATATTTTCCATGGTTGATATAAAAAAATTTTGCCAAATGATAAAAAAAGGTTAATTAATTCAACATATACCTCAATTGATAATGGTATTTAAAAAGCACATAAAGTTATATAATTCTTAGCAGCTTACATTGACAAAAGGTCATGGAACTATAACTCTCTGTTACCATTTTAGAGGCCTTACCAAATTAACAATTCTTGATGAAAAGAATATAAACGACCAATCCAAACATAAAACTATATGGTAGTTAGAGCTTCCTCTTAGATGACATGATGGAAGCTAGATAAGTAATCAAGAAAATTATTGGGAGATATTAAATTTCTAAAAGATTATCTTCCATTTTTAATGATATATAAAAGACTACACTGTTGACCATTATTGCATATCCAAAATATGAAATCATATGCTCTCAGCAGCTGTAGTAATAATCTTATTACATAGCCACACAATTAATAGATGCTGGTTAATTTACAGTCAGCCATGACTTCACGATGGTAACCCATGTCAGAATTTATTATGTTAGATTTGATGTAAAAAAATCACTAAAAATCTTTTGAATAAATTATGCAAATATATTGAAGCCTTGAGTTATTTAAACGTCAAGGTTAACATATTAGAAATGAAACATTTTGTAACTAAAAAATAAGAACCAGAGTGATATCATGAAAGCTATTAAAATTTTATATATTATTGTCGCACCATCTCTGGTTGTTTAATAATATCTAAAATATATTCGTATTAAAAATTTAACTCAAAACTGTTTTTCAAAGAAGAAGAAAATAGCTTTCCTGAAAATACGAAAAAAAGAGAAGAAAAGATATCTAATTTATTACATCCATTGTGAGATGAATAATAAGATGTTTACTTATAATAATATTTTAAATAAATAGATGGCGTTAAATAGTTGAATGCATATTGTTACTTATATTTATTATCAAAAGCATTGATTAGTAAAATTTTAAAAATATTAACTGTATATTATATAACTATCAGATGCGTCTGCAAAAGTGGCATTTTACCTAATATTTTATAAATAATTATAGGCGCGTACGCAGGAATTTGGTCTGGGGGGGGGGGGGGGGGGGGGAGGGAGGGATAATAAAATTTTTTTTTTAAGAAATATTTTTGTTTTTTTTAAATATCAAGCATAAATTTATTAGGACTAATAACTCTTTCTAATATACAATTTTAAATTAATGTGAATTATAATAATATTATATGTAAAGAATCACTTAAATGCCCAAAATATAAATTTGAATTTTTTGAGCCTTTACACAAAAAGTTACTTAGGAATAATTGCATTTTGTATGTTATATATTTGCAATGTAAAATCCAATCTTCGTTGTGATTGAGCTAATTTTCCAATTATCTCATCCTTGCTTGTTGTCAAATGCCTATGAATATTCAAAAGATCCAAACCTTTCAATCTACTTTCAGATGTTGTAATTCTTGGTATGTTTTTCAGAGACCTGCAGGCCCGACCCCCGGGCCGGACAGTATTTTAATTTTTTTATATATACCGGGGCCGGGCCCAAAATTTTTTTAAAAAAACACCCAAGCCAGGCCTGAATTATTTTAAAAAAACACCCAATCCGGGCTGTATTTTTTAAAACAGCCTATATTTGAAATCGTTATTATTTGCTGTAAAAATAAAAAATAAATTTAATTTATTTTTAAAAAATCCGGGCCGGGCCTGAAAATTTTATTTAAAAAAAAAGCCGGGCCGGGCCTGAAATTTTTTAAAAAAAACCCAGGCCGGGCCGTAAAAAATCTTTAAAAAAAATCCGGGCCGTGCCCTGCAAATGTGCAATCCTCTGTTATTCTTGTTAAAAAAGAGAATGTTCTCTCATTAGTTTACTAATGGGAAGAGTTTATAAACCCTTTTAATACATTGGGAATTTAATATAAAATGTGTTTGAAATAATGCAGAGCATCCATAGCATTTTTTGGGACTATATCAACCATAGTTAATCTTATAAACATAGTTATTCAGCTAGTAAGGCATCATAAGATACTTTAACATCTTCATAATAAAAATCTAACAAATATTTTTTTTTCTATCACCATCTGAAAAAGGTTGGGAAGGCTTTTGTGGAAGTAATATTTGCAGATGAATTTCATATTTTATATATTATTATTGAGTCAAAAGCAGAGCTATACGTGTTTAATATTTGTCTCCCTCGACTTGTAGCAAGGCAAGCTCATCGTTAAAACATTAATATAAGATCAGTAGAAGAGTATATCTTAAATACAGGTATTCCTAGAGTTCTGATAAAATGCTCTCCGCTATTCTCATCTTCTTAATCAAGTCAATGTCATGTTTTTGAAAAATAATACTTAAAATAGTTGTATAATTAAATAATACATTCTAATGAGAAATAAAATTTGGAATAAGCATTGAATCCAATAATTTTCTTGCTATGAGGAAATATTTATTTCAGGCCATTGTGATATTTCAGTAATAGCAAATAATTGGCTCTTCTAACTCCTTAAAAGCTATTACTGCTTGATGGCAGAGACTCTATCTCGTTGGATAAGGTTGCAATTTCTTTTTCCCTGTTGGACAAGAAGTTTCAGAAATAATTATTATTTGACTAGAAATTTAAAAATGGTAGATAAATATTACGCCACTAAAAATTTAAAAATAATAAGTAAATTTTACGCCGGAAAACTTGAAATCGAAATTAAAAGTATATTAAGGGCTAACACCCATAGTCTATCATAGATGACACAAAGGTCGCATATCTTAGCGAAATCTCGAGGCTTAGGCATTATTTTTGGGGCTAAAATATTGAGTAAAAATTAGTTTAAATCGAGTCAATATTAATTCTTATGTATATTTTTTTAAAAAAATCTTATCCTTTTTAGGTCGAATATACAAACGTCTATAAATGTCAATCTCAACCCCTTTTTTCCACTATTAGAATATTTTTATATATTTTACTTGGTTAGTGAAGACGATACAGAAGACCTTATTTATTCATGCCTAAATTTTGACCGAATTTATATTTAAGAGACTTTCTTATTATTTTCAGAATTTTCTGAAATATTTTCATAGGCAATACATTTTTTTAAGTAATTTTTAATTCTTAACCGCATTTATAGTCAAATGGAAATTTTTTTAACCATTATTTTCTGAAAATTCATCATAATTCATATATTTTTTTATCTAAAAGTTTAAATTCTTAATCTTATAGGTTGTAACATCGTACAGCCTCATGCTTGTATCAAAGGATAGGCACGGCCTTAAATATATATTCAGTCAAGGGCGACACCAAAGCCATACAGCAATAAACCATTTAGCAGCCGCCCACATAATAACCATCTTGAACTCACAATCTTATCTCAAGTAGATAGTGATCGTAAGACAACCAAACTTTGGGCCCTCGGAAAATAACTAATATGAGACTACACATACGCCTTTTTATTCCCCTCAAACTTAAATATCAATCCACTAATACAGGCAGAAACTAAAAAGATTAACATATACAAAAATTTTAACAATTCATATTCACTTTATTAGTGACTTCCCCAAATGGCCATATATGACTTTTTACAAACAAAACAGAGAATTTTTATATATGAGCCAAAAAATTATAATAGTGACATAATTATGGTTCCTTCTTGGGAAATTAATAAAAATGTATTTTATAATTATATAGTTTTTTAATATTTATAGTGACTTAAACTTAATTTTATCTTATATTGAACTAAATAAATATTTATTACTAGGAAAATAAAATTACAACATTAACAAAATTACTCTGGTATTTATATAATATATCTCTAGCCATATTCAGAGGGTTTTCAATTTCATGATATCAAAATTAGTTTAATAACAAAAATAAATATATGGGTAGATATGAAAAATTATTTATAAGTTATTTTAGCTTCAATAATCTTAAAAAATAACATTTTATTCTAAATTTATACAGTAATAATAGATAACTAAAATGTAATTTTATCCGCTGATGGCGATCAAATATTTTAAATAGTCATTATTAACTATGAAATTAAAAATTTATGGGCCAGGGACCGGGCTTGAAAAGTTAAACCCAGGTCGGCCATGCAAATGATACCCCTGAAGGTATCTGATAATAATATATATTTTAGGAATATATATTTTTGTTTGTTAGATTATTAAATTAAGTAAGACTAAAGAAAAGAGCATTATCACAAGGTAAAATAGCTTTATTAATTGCGAGTTGCAAATGCAGATAAACAAAAAAATTGGCAATTTTATTTATCAAGTAATTTTATACACTAAAGATTTATAATTATGAATATATAAATATATACAATATTTTTATAAAATAGAATATTATTTATATATATATTTTTAAAAAAAATCAAATTTAAAGTAATAAATAATCAAAATATACTCGCAACGAAAAAAAAGGTATGTATCATTAAATGTATATACAGGCCGTTTTGGATAATAGAAAATATAAATAAAACCTGCCCACAATTTTAAACATTAAAATATATATTTCGATGTATATTAATTATTATTATCTTTATAAATCCTTTAAGATGAACTTGATTTTACATTTTTATTATTATTGTATCATTTATAATTCTAATTTATTTAAATATGATCATTTTAATTTTTTAAAATATTTTAATATTATAATAATTTTTTTTTAAAAATGAATAAAAGATAGAAAACAAATGTAATTAAAATTGAGAATATAATCAAAACCCGCCATAAATATGAATAAATTATGTAGGTTATAAAAAAATTAAACAATTAAAAAAGATTTTGAGCCTAAAATAGAAATGTTTCCTATTTATGATTAAAATTTTACATATATATATTAAATATTAATAATATTGAGTATAATATTTTTTTGAAAAAAAAATTTCAAATTGGATTTAAATATTTAATACTTATTTTTTTATTCTTAGTTTAAAAAAACACATGTTTTTTTAAAAAAAGAATAAAAATTAAAGCCTCATTTGAGCGATTAAAAATTATCATTAATTCTTGACAAAGATCTTATAAATTAAATCTAAAAAAAAGTATTAAAATAATGGACATCCGACAGATTTAAGTATAAGATGAATAATTTGGTTAACAATGTGTAATATTGGGTTATAAACCAATTTAAGATAATAGTATATTCTTATGATTGATAACTAATTTAAAGTGATCAAATAAATGGTATGTGACTTTATACAAATTGTTTTAAAAAAAGAAGATTAGAGGTTTATAACAAAATTTGCTAATGTATAGTGAAGTAGATGTACATAAACAAAGCAACTGTTATTATAAAAATGAGATTGAAGTTTAAAACGATTTTTGATTTTGGTCCTTGATATAGCGAGGTGACATGTGCTAGATGTTGCACATAGATAATCTTATCTGCTTCTGATTGTTCTTCTGAAGCGCTGTAACCCAAAAACCAATTCCAGGCCTGTTTTAGTAAAGAACGTTGTTCATATGCTTTAAAGATTTTTTTAAAAATATTTTATGTATTTATTTTAGATATTAATACAAAAGGTAATGCAAAAAATTACACTAAAAAAAATAATTAAATAACACTTTTCGTTCGAGTTTCGTCCTTCAAGTTAACGTTTTCCTGATCGTCAAAATCTAAAATCCCCTTCTTAGACCCAACTTCCGCCAAAGGCAAATCTGCCGCCCTATTATTTTTAATAGGTGATTTCATGCTATCATTCGTGACATTTCCGTTAAGATTGTTTTTATCTGATTCTATATTAGTTTGACCATTCGTTTGTTTGGAAACATCTGAAAGAGTCGATAATTTAATGTCAGGTTTTAGATCAGAATTCTCCACTATATCATTAGTTTGGACTGGTGTACTATCATCATCTATGCGCGGATCTTTACTGAATCGAGTCCAGTATGTGGTCCGAACCATCTATATTTCATTTTAGAAACTTAATATAAGAGAAATTTGTTCCATTTTTTGTTGTAATTAAATTTTCATTTACAAGGTAATGTGAAACTAATATTAAAAAAATATATAAACTTTTGTTTGGCATAAAAAAAAAAATAACACAAGGTTGATGAATCTATGATTTAAAACAAACCCTGAAATTTGGCAAATAACAAACATTAAAATTAAGTTAAAGCAAATATACATGTCAGTCAAGATTTGAATCATATTAATTACGTATTTGGCTGGAAGCGGTGAAGTCATATAACTAACGACTATGCAAACCAGAGCCGTGAGCCAAAATAAAAGAATGGCGAAATACATGTAGTGAAGACGTGACAAAATTATAGGTCTATTGTCGACTTGCCCACAATATGGTTCTTTGTAAACGAAATCAAGTATCATCCGAATGACTCCGACTACCATGCCTACCATTAGAGACCAAAACGCTCCCTTATTATTTAAAATAAGTAAAATATATTGAGCATATATGTTAAAGGGGATTTAGGATAAGATTTAAAAATAGGGTTACTAAGAAAAGTCATGTTGTAAGAAATAAATTTAAATTTTAGCAAATTGAGACTGGAATCAAGATTTAAGTAAATAAAAAAAATAGTTTATGGGAGGAAAAAAACTTTTTCATTGCAGCGAGGCCATAAAACCGCCAATATATAAACACAAGCAATGGGAGGGGATAGGTAAGCAGCGATGGATTGTATGTAAATATAAAGCTGTCCACCTTGCATGATCTGGATAACTGGGATCCATATGATACCTATCACCGTCATTAGGATGACAAAAAGCCTATTATATCCCGAAAATAAAATATGGAAATATTAGTATATAAATGTTTTAAGAATTATCAAATTTCAGAGTTGGGGTGAATGATAATGAATATTTTTTAAACTCGTCGTTATCTTGCTAAAATGAATCTTATGAAATTAAAACATAACAAAAAAAATACCTCCCAACAATAAGAAGTTCTTTGACAGTGCTCATGGGTCTAATAATCTTCCATATGTCTATAGTGAAAAGGGTACTCGCACTGTTAAATATAGAGGTCAGATCGCTCATTAAGGCGGATAACATGACAGCGAGCATTAATCCTTTAGCCCCTGGAGTATAAAAAAAATTAATTAATCGGAATCATGCAGTAATGTAAAATGTAAATTTTCATTTTTAGGGGTGTACCGATATAACTTTTTGGAAGCCGATCCGATATTAAATTGATATCGATCGATTACCGATTCGATCATATCTGATTTTGTATTCTGTATCATACTAATAGTTTTAATTTTTAATGCATACATCTAGTGTTGAAAAATCGTTCCGTTCGAGTCGATTTTTAAAACAGTTAACTAACTATTTTATCCAGGAAAAATATTAAGCAAGCCTGAAGATTTAGCACAGAGATGACACAAAGGTTTGGACATCCTTTAGCAAAATCTCAACACTTAGGCAATATTTTTTTGGCTAAAATATTGAGTTAGCCGTTTTTAAAAATCGGCTCAAATGAAGAGATTTTTTATCACTTTATTATATACATCTACTCATCTCATATACTAATAAATAATAATTTAACTTTAACATAACATAAGTCATATAAATATATTGTAATGATCAGTTATAGTTTATATTCATGAATCTAAAGGTATATAAAATATTTTTATTGATATATCACTTGTTTATATAAAACATTAATCTATTTATATAATACAAATATATTATCAAATTTGAAATAAATTTTTTAAAATAAAAAGTCATTTTATCAGATCGAAAAATTTTATAATATCGGCTGATAATCGATATTTTAAAATGGTGAAATATCGGCCTGATCTGATAATATCGGTACATCCCTATTTCATTTCTAATTTATCAATTAATGTGTCGAATGGTATGTAGGAATATTTAATCATTTACAGCGCACGTTTTTTTGAATTTTTAAAAGATTAATTTTTTGATCGTATTTTCGTCAGGAATTTTTACAGGTATTTATTCTATTTATGTATTTATTTAATATATCATATAATTCCAAGTAATATTTTAACAATATTTTAGATGCAGTCGAATCATGAGTCCATTGATTAAAGTTTAATAGGTCATTATCACCTCTAGACATAAAAATATTTGCCTTACGTATGCTAATAAAAATTTTATTTATTAAATCATTGAACTTGAGAGGATTAAAATATAATTTGTGCATTTTTTTTATCCATAAATGTTGTGTAAAAAAAATATAAGAAGATTGTAAAATGTAATATGTTAAGATTATTACTAATTTGGCAAATTTTTTAAGGACTAAGTATTAGGTTATTTTATAGAATGTATCGATAAAAAATAGTAAATTATGGAAAAAATTACCAACTGGCAAAATGTTAAGAACTAATGTTGGATAGGCTAGGTTACTGCAACCGGTCGGATTTCCGCAGATTTTTTTACAAGCCTCAGGCGTGGCACAAGCTATTTTATCTACATATAAATATATTTAAAAAATTAATATTCGTTTTTAAAAATAAATTCATTGAAAATTTCAAAGGCATGGTAGAAAAAAATTGATTATCATTAAATGTTTTATATAATCAAATGATCGCTGCTTAGTTGAATAACCTTTACATTTAAAAAAACCTCCAAAATTATAATTCTACGAGTTAACGATATGTCATGTCGTTTTTTATCTCCTTGGAAATTGGGTTCCATGACAAATACAGTGTGTGTACGACATACAAATCAAATTTTAAAGCTCTAGCTCAAATATATCCCAAGTTATGTGCCTTTAAAGTTCGATGAGAACTTTTTCCCCTTTTAACAAATCCCAAAATATTTTTGGTCTAAAGTAACAAATTATATATCAATTTGTACCATTAAAATTCACCTTAAGATAATGTAAAAATTATATTTAAAATAACTTTAGTGTAGTTGTATTTTTGATAAAACAAAAAATAATTATTTTGAAAGTGCCCCATTTAAAACGACGAAACTCGTGAAATTATTACCAATATTAAAATTTTAGGAATATATATATGCATTTTAAATTATACATAACCATTGTTGTACCTCTATAAAAAATATATATCACAATTAATTTTAACGATAGTACCCTCTATAATTAATTTTTTTTCCCTAAAATTATAAAATTAAATAAAATTTAAATTCTTATTTTCTCCATTAATATTTTTATTTAGATATTCAAATATATTGTAATAAACATATTAGATTTGTTTCATCGTTTTAAATGTCCTTCATAGTTGAATATTTTATTATTCAATTATAAAAAAATAAAATTAAAATTCTTATTTTTCACCTTCAATATTTTTAGTTAAATATTTAAATATATTGGTAATAAACATATTTGTTGAGTTTCATCAATCCAAATTAGCCCTTCTAAACATAATTTTTTGTTTTACCGGAAATAAAAGACACTGAAGATATTTTTTAAATAATTTTAGCATTTTCTTAAGATAAATTTTGAGGGCCACAAAATGATATATAATTTGTTACTTTCGACCAAAATTTTTTGGAGTAATTTGAGATTCGATAAAAGAGGAAGGCTCTCATCGAACTTTGAAGGTCCATAACTCGGGATATATTGAGTTAAATCATTTAAATTTTGATTTAAATAAAATATACAATCTATTTAACCTTCAAGCCTAGTTTCATTCATTTTAAAAATGGTTGTCCAAATATCACGTTATTTCAGTGATTTGTCATGGAAATACTTGATGGAAATTTAGATAAAACATTCTAATAATTAAGCAAAGAAAAGAACAACTTGAAATTTTTACAATCCTCTATGCCTAAAGCTGTCTTTTTCAAAACTTTTATTTATAAAGTTAAAATGTATAATTGCCATATTATCACATTAAGCTTTGAATTTTTTTAAATCGATTTTATATAAAAATTATGAAGGTTCAAAAATAAAAAATTGTAAATGTATTGAAAATGTTGCTCACTTAGTATTTCAAAAAAAGTTAATACATTTATTTTGCACTTATGGTTAATTGAGACTTTATGACGAAACAAATAAATTGTTTACACTTCCTTAACACGCGATTAGAATTTAAAAATGTTTTTATAAGAAAAAAGTTTTAAAGATATCTTCAAAACTACACCTGACTGAATATTGTTAAGTTTTATCAGAGGAGTTAAAATTAAAACTATTTTAAAATTTTCTGAATATGAAAATATAATTTTAAAAAAATATCAGTTATTTTTGAAAATACTTAGGATTATGATTCCTTAACTCAGGATCAGCGTTTGAATAAATAGTAAATACACACGGCTTACCCAAAATTTGATTTAAATAATTTATAATTAATTATAATATCTAAAAACATTATTTGTGGAGATTAGCTTCATTTTCTTTGAGCCTTGCAACAAATGTTAAAATTTTTAAATGAAAGTCATTTATAAACTAATAATAGCGTTTTTTTTAAAGTGAAGGGGGTTTTAAAATTTATATAAATAAAATTTCATTTTCAATTAAAATTTTTATTATACATCTATGAGGGGCACAGATAATGAGTGTTTTCTTATATGTTTAAATTGATTCTCGGAGGATTTGTCAATAATAACTTATAATTATTTCGCGAGATATTCGCGCAATCAAATAAGCATTAAAGTATGGAGTTAAATCATTTTAAATATTTTTGGCTGCTTTTATAGCTTCAATTATGTTCTGATTATATATTATTTAAAGATAATGGTTAAGGCTAGATTTTTATTTTAAAAAAATATAATAGTTGTGTATGAATTTTGTGAATATATTGGCACCATAAACCAGGATGTCCATGTAAATATATGTTATAAAAAGTGTTTTGAAAATTTTTTTGGTATAAGTTTCAAGAGCTTGGCCAAACACCTCTAGCCTAGTGAATATGCTACTGCTAACCAGATTAATTTGAGAATAAATATTAAATACCTGGGTACAATATTCTACTAATCATGCCAGGAAATATAATGATAAACAAAGGTAACATTTTCAAATAGCCAGCGAAAAGGGTCCCACCCTGGGCGTGCGATAAATTTTTGGCTGCGAGAGCCCTTTGAACCATCATCTATATTAGATAATTGTATAATATAAATAGTATTTTGATAATTTTCTAATAATACCTTTCATAAATTTGACCAACTATGGAAAAAAAAATGTAATACTTTACTATTATTATTAATATTAATTCATAAAAGGTAAACAACAATTGCAGATGCAGCCATGTGTAAAAAATATTTACGATTGTTAAATCATTCCATTTAATCTCATTTGAATATTTCATCAAATATTAATATATTTTTAAAAATTACGCCCGAATTTTAACCGCTTGTCTTACAAAAAATATTAGCACAAAATTTTAGATTTAAATCAACTATTAAATTTTAATTATATATCATGCCTGATCAGCGCACCAATACCAAATCGAAGCCATAGTCTGACCCAGTATGAAACCTGGCCAGGGCATGTTGTGATCCATAGGACTTCTCAACATTTGCCAGGCTTTAGAGTCTGGGAGACCACAGAGTGCGTATTTGGCTTGCAAAATAAAACTATCATTGAATTTAGTAGTGTTCGATATATAAGACTGAGGTGTTGTGTATTGGCTTAAAAAGGAACGTATATTGCTCAACTCTTTGGCAGGGTTCTGGTGATAAGACCAGTTGCTTGGGATAGTGACATTGGAGATGAAGGAGTTATTCCTGATAAAGTCAATAAATGAGTAAGTAGAGTATGGAATGGCCAGTGAGTATCTTTGACGAAGACCATTGTAGCCACCTACTTTATTAAATGCTGTAGATTAAAAGATAAAAAAAATATAATTTAGTTGTAAAACGGGATAAAAGTATAATAATTAAAAAACAACTAGACTGATCATATATTTATTTTGCTTATAAGATAAAAAAAAAAGAAAGATAAATTAGCAGCTCCAGGTATTATATCCAAAGATTTTGTCTATAATCCAACCGGGAGGGGGGGGGTGTTATACAGTTAAAATATCTGCCCCATAAAAAATAAAATACATTTTTAAAATTGTTTAACTATTTATATTTCGCTACAAAATATATTTTGTAAATTAATTAAAATATTTATATAAATGGATGTTTAAATATTTTTTTTCTAATGTATTCCCATAATTTTGAAAGGATCTATTAATATTATCCTTATATAAATATAATGTAACAGATAATACCTACTACTGTGAGCATAATACTACCAACCAACATGACAACCGTTTGCAGTGTATCGGTATATATAACAGCCACTAATCCACCTAATACAAATTTAAAATAAGTAAAACAGGTATATAATTAACCTCAATCCATTACCCAAAGCTCATTTTATTAAGTAAAAGTAATCATATTTCCAAAACATGAATTTAAATAAGAAAGTGTTAAAATGGTAGATTTTCTCAAATTAGGGTCCTAATTTGAAAATTAGTTTGAAAAAACCAAAAATAAAGTTCTTTTTATACCTGTAACAGTACAGAGGCAAGTCATGAACAATATGAATAAAATAGCGGCATAAAGGTTCCACCTTAAGCTCTGTTCGATAAATATAGCCCCGGCATATAGATTGACCTGATGGTATTAAATTTAATAAAACTAAACTTTATTGTCTATTAATAAATCAACAATAACAACAAAAAATTTGCCGAAAGGTTAAACAATATTTAATTTAAATTATGGGATTTTTTATATCATTATTTATTTGTTTGGCATTTATAAGTAATAAGTCATATCATTTATTTCTGGTATCAAACAATAAACAATTGGCTCTCGATTTTTGATAACAACGTTTATAGGTAAAGTGAAATATCAAAGAAAAAAAAGATTAGTAAAATGGCGCAGAGTATGATATTAAATAAGGAGGGGAAAGGTAAACATGTTTAAATTTTGACTTACAGACACTTTCGTAAATATGTAAAGCATCATGGATAGAGATGCTAAATAAGTTCTTATTCGCCGTCCGCCAAATCTTCTATTCATATATTCCGGAAGTGTGTTTACCTTTATAATTAATCATAAAACTGCAATGTATAAAACTTCTAAATAAAAAAAATGACATCAAAAAAGGAGAAAGGAAAGAAGGTTATAAAAATTAAAATTGCAATATATAAAACTTCTAAATAAAAAAAATGATATCAAAAAAGGAGTAAGGAAAGAAGGTTATAAAAACTAAAATTGCAATATATAAAACTTCTAAATAAAAAAAATGATATCAAAAAAGGAGAAAGGAAAGAAGGTTATTGGGTGCACGATATTTAAATAGGAATCTTTGCCGATTTGAAATTGTATGCCACTCTGTATTAATATTAAAATCTTAATTCCTAACCTGATCATTTATAATTAACAGAGTATACAGAAAAAAATAATTCATCAAACAAAACATGGAAATCAAAACAAATCTAAAATATTTATAGTTTATTATGATTAATCGCTTTGTTTACAAAATATATATAGATAGTTATTAGTTAACATTCAAAATACTTTTGAATTTCAGATTTATTTTTTAATTTAATTATAAGTCTAGTACAATAAAACTCCTTATAAAATTTTTCGTTGAACTTGAATGTAATAATATATAATCAATCATGTACATAACAAATTAGGGTTGGCAGATTTAAACCAAGTTGATTATCATGGATTTTAAAAGCTCATGTGCTCCTGCACTATTTCAAAATGAGCGAGATATCGTTTAAAAACTTTAATAAAATACGTTTTTTTAAAATATTTTAAACAAATTTTAAAAATTTTTTTTTTGATATTACATTTAAAAAAAGCTTTCTTAATCTTCTTCTCCGTTTTATGACGATTTCCAGGTTTACCCGGGTAGGCCAGTTTTCCTTCTGATTTTTCTTTTCCATTTTTGACGGTCATGACTCATGAGCATCAAAATTTGTAAGACTCATGCTTCTCATATCCGCCGCTATCACATTTGTCCACGTCATCTTGGGTCTTCCTCTAGGTCTTGATCCTCCTACTTCCATCAAGGTGAATCTCTTTACCCAGTCATCTTTTGTCATATGTTCCACATGCCCAAACCATCTTAGTCTATTTCGTCGCATTACCACTCCGATGATTTCTATACCCAATCTGGCTCACAATTCCTTGCTAGTTTTTCTCTCTCTCAGAGATACCCCACACATCCATCTAATCATCTTCATCTCTTTTCTTTCTAATTTGGCTTCGTGAGTCGCTTTCATTGCCCATGTTTCGCCGCCATAAACCAAACAACTCCTCACACAGCTTACGTAAACTTTCCCCTTTAACTTCAGAGAGACTTTTTTATTTGTAAGAATAGACGACATCTCTCTGAACTTCTTCCAAGCTTGACTGATCCTTGCAACAACGGCAGAATCTACACCACCATCTGCGTTTAACATATCACCTAAATAACAAAACTTATCCACTTTTTCAAGGGTTAACCCATTGCCAATATCCAAACCACCATTTTCTAGGTTATCATAATTATGTATCCCTTTCATGCATGTTCTACAAATAAAGGTCATTCTTTCTAACATCAAACTTTCTTTTTTCCCGCTACATCTATTATGTACCCATTACATCTATTATGATGGCCAAAAAAAATGTTAAATAATGTATCGTTATTTAAATATTAAACTTATATCATTTGCAAGTTTCAATAAAAAAAAAATTTTAATTTGTTATCATTTAATCTCTTTAATAATTATTATAAAGATAAAATGATAATTAAATTGTTTTTTTTTAAATTGATCTACAAATTATTAAACTGATAATAAAGAAAGAAGGTAAAATCATTTTTTCTCTTATTCCTTTTTTTAACTATTCATTTACAAAATTTTATATTAATTATTTATAACTGAAGAATATAAAAATGATAATATTTATGATTGGTGAAAAATGTGGTCTCAATGCCTCTCTGATATACTTAGAAAAATAAATGCGCAATTTGGCAACCCATTATGCGTGAAATGGAAATAGTATTAAGCCTATTGCTATTTTAACAATATTTTTTTGTAAATTTCCATTATGTTTCTCTCTAATTAAATTAATGTATGTATTTTGTCTCGGAGGAGGGGAAGGGGGATATTATTACCTCTGGAACTGTGTTTTTTATATTTTTATTTGCAAACTTTTTTTCCGCCAACCCTAATTTGCCTATATCAATCATTATAAACTAAGTAATATAATATTTCTAGTTGAAGGTCAAGATATCAGTGGGCATTTGAATAAAATGACTAAATATCCCTTGACACTGTATTTTCAATTTTATACAAAATATATATCCTCTAATAACATTATACAAATTTATTTATAAATATTTACCTCGCTTGCTATGAAGACAGGAAGGAAAACCCATCCTAGAAACTGTATCAGTATACAAGCCTATAAATTAAAAATGATAATTAGAATTGAAATCATGTTGATTTAAGTTCTTATACCTAGGTCCGGATGTTACCTTTCGAAAGCTATAATCTAAGATATACGGTCACAAGTTTTATTTTGATGGGCAGGTTAAATCTAAACTAGGTAATAGAAGCCTGCTCGTTGTTTTGAAATATATTTAACCCGCCCTCCCGTTCACTTATTTTTTTTTAATTTACCCGCCCGTCCATTTATCTATATATTTTTAACCCGCTCGCCGTTTAAAAATTATTTTAATGGCTGGCTTGGCTCTTTATTTATTTAAATGTATTTTTAATTAAACATATATAATATGCAATATTATAAAATAAAACTATTATTTTTAATAAATTGAAGACTATTCTGCTTATTTCGCCTGAAAAATATCAAAAATTCTCCTGCCCACGCCCGCTCAATGTTAAAAATATTTTTAAAAACCCGACCAAGCCCACTACTAGGGATGTACCGATATTTTATATCGGATCGGATCGGGCCGATATTTCGCTCATTTTAAAATATCGGTTATCGGAAAATATTATAAAATTTTCCGATCCGATATAAAATGGCGCTTTTAACAAAATTTAAAAAAAGTTATATCTAAAAAACCATTTATTTTTATAAATAAAATCGAAATACATTTTTATGTTTAATTTTTTTAATAGAAATAATTAGTTAATAAACATTCTGCAATATAGTTATTTTTTTTCGCATTCTGTTTAAAAAAGTGTTCATTACTCTCTTCAGTATCTGTTTTTAGTGATGCTAGTGATATTAACACCCCATCACCGACATATCTCTGATATAAAAAGAAATCTTCGATATATTAATTTCAAATTTCATAATATATTTTTTTATTACTAATTATGTAAATAGATTAATGTTATTACTTATTATATAAATAATAGCAATTGAATTGAATATTAACTATAACTGACCATTATAATATATTTAAATGACATATGTTATAGTCTAGTAAAATTATAGATGTTGTACTAATAAAAAGTATATTAAAAATTAAAACCGGTATCTTTGCAGAATACAAAATTAGATATGATATCGGATCGGTTATCGGCCGATATCAATTTAATATCTGAAATATCGGATCGGATCGGCCTCCAAAAAGTGGTATCGGTACACCCCTACCCACTACTAATGCTTACAAAAAAAAGGCATTATCATCTTTGAACTTAGCTTTATATATTTTATTTAAACCTTCAAAAAAATCACGTTTATATCCTCCAAATATTTTTTATAACAAGGTAAATATAGTTTATTGTTCTCATTAGACATTTCTATAAGAACAATCCAGTTGTAAAATATAAAATTACATAAATTTCTATCTTTGTTATAGTGTTGTCAAAAACTTCTATTAGGCGCTTTCTAAAAAAACTAATAAATCAAAATTTTAGTCAAATATGGATATCGTTATTTGAAAAAAAAGCGTCTGGCCATTAACGTTTTTTCAAAGCGGTTTTTGGGTAATATTACCATCAGTCAATTTTTTATTTCCAAAAAATGTTAACTTCTCGAATTAAATTTTTTAATATAATATAATATTTTTAAAAAAAAACAAAGATCCCCATTTTTTTTAATCGTAAATAGAAAACAAACTGGTTTGATTTTAGTAAAGATTAAATGGCGTTTTGAAATGTGGCTTAGAATTGTTTTTTTAAATATTATATCATATAAAAAAAATTTAATTCTAGAATTTTACATTTTTTTTAGAAATAAAAAAAAATTGCTGGTAACTTACCTAAAAACCGCTTTTAGAAAACGTTCTATCTGGAAATAGCCAAAGGGATTTTCAGTAGGTGACTTTCTTGATGTTGCAATTTATAATTATTTCGAATTTACCATGATAAGAGAAATAAAAATAAAATGTTATATGCAATAAGCAACTATCTTTTAAATGGAAAATTATGCTCATATCAAATATTTTGCACATAGATAGAAGAAAGGTTTGGCCCTCTTTTGACCAAATTTCGAGACCTGGGTAGTATTTTTTTGCTTAAAAATCTTGATTTAACCGCCTTTTTAAAAAAGCATCTAAATCGAGGTTTTAATTTTTATTTCATAAGAAATATAAATTCATAATTATTGTATTAATAGCCTATTCGAAGACGGTTCTAAAAACAATTTAGCCAAAAAAATGGCTCAGGTGAGAGGTTTAGAGGCAAAATAAGCAATTGAGGAAAAAACTAGCCTAGTTTTTTCGCCTTTTAGCCTCAGCCTCAAGGTTAAGGCGAAAATAAAATCAGCTTATTGAATGCATCTGAACCTCAGCCTCGTTAAGCTAAGTTTTTTGTAATAAATTTTTGCGAAAATACTCATTTGGATAGAATGTATAACTTAAAAAATATAATGTAAATGAATTATAGTTAACTAAATACTCATTTTAATCGAATTTATTGTTAAAAAAAATTACATTAATTTCAAAGGCTCCAACAGCTATACCAGAAATAGCTCCAGATCCTGCTAGACCAATAAAATGTTCACTTCCTATATTGCTTGCAAATAATGAAGCACCAACCTGATTTTTTTTTAAATTAGTAAAAAAAGTATTTCTAATTTGATCAAGGAATAATAATATAAGTAAAAAAATTTTGGTAGTGAGTAGCAATAGTAAGAAAAATAATTACATTTATTAAGGTTTATGTTAAATATAAAGGGTTGAGAAGAATGCCTTTTTTTTAAAAATGCATTTATTTCCAAAATTATAAATATTTGTCAAACATCAAATCCGAAATCATTAAATCAAATATCTAAATTAAAAAATATTAAAGACCCTTTTGCAAAATTTATATTATTTTTGAAAAAAACATCCCATTAGAGTTTGTCGAAATGCATGGCAAGATCAAGGAGAGAATAAAAACGAAGGTAAAACATATATAATACATATAATTATACCTTCATTTGACGGCCATGTATAAAAACGTTTTGATTTTACAATAATTAATTTTTTTATTAAGTAGAAGAAGTCTTGTGGAATATTTTTAGACTATAAAGGGGGGCTGTTTTAATTTGATTATTTTTATTTAAAATAATAATAATCAAAAATAAGTATAAATCTTATTACTAACTATAAAACAATACTCATAAACTTTATGCACATTATGCATAATAATCTGTAAAAAAACGAAAAATTAACAATTTTAAGAATATTTTATATTACCAATCGGCTTTTACATATTTAGATAATCATTTAACTCTAAAATCGATTATAAATATACAAATAAAAAAATATATATACATAATTTTTAGCATAATGTGTATATTGAATACCGGAAGCCAAGTCATAAGTCGTCCAGCTAAAAAGTAGCCATGGATTGTTCCTCTGTTTGTTCTAAATAATGACTGCGTAAAACAATAAAAATCACATTTATAAAATATGCAGTAAATTAATATTTTAGCATGTAAAGTATGAAATGAGTTCTCCTGTTATAAATCGCCAAAAAATATTTTGAATATTTTTTATATATCCTGGAAATCTTTAAAAAAATAGCTAAAAATAGGAAATAATATTCCCAAAAAGCATTTCCGAATTATAAAATATTTTTTAAAAAAAATTCGCCATCTTTTAAACATTTTTTTTACAACTCAATTGAAATATAATTAAGCCTCCATAATATCGATCACATTAACAACATCATTTTATAGATTTTCAAGAATATTTTTTAGTGATTCAGAAGTTATCCCTTGAAAAGGATATAAGTAGTTTTAAAATGATATATTACAAGAGTAAAATGATAAAATGTGTACCTCGTCAAGCACTTGAGAATTGGTTAAATTATCTAACTTTGGCTAACTCAAATACGGCTTAGTCAAATTTCAACCAAAAAATGACAGAAACTTCAAAATTGAACCTCAACTTAAAAATTATGAATATTTTAGTGTAAAAACTTGACTAAACCTGTTTTAAAATTGACTAAAGTTAGGTGATTTAAAAACAACTAATAAGGACCAAATTTTAAAATCCGATTAAAATGTTTTATTACGATAACCATAAATTTTAAAATGACAAATAACGTGAGACCTTATTTACTATAAAATATAGAACGAGAAATCGTGGTTATTGTGGAAAAAAAATCATATTGTGTAATTTATGTTAAACTCGTAAACTTTAACTTTTACTTTTATTTTAAAAATTTATAAAAAATTTTAAAAATTAACTGCCTAAAAGTGAGGGCTGTCTACGGCATACTTTTTATATATAATCGTTAGAGACCTGCAGGTTAGGCCTGGATCGGCTTTTTCCAATCTTGGCATGAATGTGTAAAAAAAAATCCTTGTAAGTTAGAGTCTATTTGGTTAAACAAAATAACCGATCCATCACAATTTCATCGGCCTAGATTTATTTTATTTATTTTCTCAGTTTTTTAAAAAAACTAATTTTAAGATCCGGGCCAGGCCTGCAGATATATCTGATATGCAATAACAAAGATAATCCTATACGTCTAAGCAAATTACGATTTCAGCTAAAAGAATATTCCGCAAGCCTCGAGATTCGGTTAATATATGTCCAAACCTCTCTGCCATCTAGCAAAATTTCCAGTTGCATAATATTTCTTGGATAAAACTTGGGTTAGCCATTTTAAAAAAAATCAAACAGTTGAACAATATTAGATCGGATTTGGTAAAATGGGCTATTAATAGTATATTTTCTGTCTAAATCGAGTGACTTAAAAGTTACAGTATTATGGAAAAATATTTAAATATGTAAAATATTATGAATAGCCATCAGCGCAAAAACGCGCATGATAAAAAAATTTGATAAATTTATAATAAAGTATGTCTATATATAATAATAAATATTTCGACATTTATGATAATGAAAACATAAACACCGATTTAATTTTAAGACATTTTTTTTAACATTTCGTCATATAATAAGAAAATGCTCTAGCTCCGGATAATAAATTACTAATTTTATTATCATTGAGCCAAAATCTCGCATCTCTGATAAATTTTCGAAAAAAATAATCTCATTAAAGAATATTAAAGATAATTTTTTTTAAAAAAAGGAAAGGATGGATTATTAATGGTCATTTAATATGTATCGCATTAGGATTGAAGAAAATAAAAGGCGAATATTTAAAAGGATATAAAATTATATTTAAATTAATTATTAACACTTAAAATAATAATTAAATCTTATCAGCGAAATTAAGAATTTTTAAAATCGGAGGGAAAATAAATGTTAAATTTTGATCAAAAAAATATTCGTTAAATTATTTATAAGTTTATAGAATGGTTAAACCTCGTTTTTATATGAAATAACTCAACAAGTCAAAAATTAAGTGTCTCAATACTTAGCGGATTATCTTTGGCGCACATAGATTGGGCAGAGGTAGCAGATGTTTAGCCATTACTACTCTATAGTTAAGATCGTTTTAAGGACTAAAGAAATTTTCAAAAGAAAATTTTCCGGCTGGCTGAATACCGATTTGAAAACCCCAGTAAGACCGATTAGTTTTTAATCGATCAAAACAAATCGTCTGGTTAGATTTTCAAAATCAACCTTCATCCAGCTGAAAACCTTTTTCAAATTTGCCCGGCCCGTGATGGTCATAACTAAGCCGTTGATATTCACTAATATATCGTATCTTTCTCTTAGCTGCTCTATCAGATTTCTATGCATATTCAAGATATTTAAATATTTGTAAAAGCCACACCTCCTGATTCTTTAATATTATGACATCTTTTTTTTAAATATATATTTTTGAAAATATTTTTTAAAGGGAACTTTGGGAAGGAAACATTTTGATAAAAAAAATCCTTATTTGTAAATATCATTTTTTTTAGAATTATGTTTAGTGGATGTAAATATATGTGTTAAATTTTAGGTTTCACTTCGCCTACATAAATATATCCACTTGAGTTAAGAATGAAAGATTATCCCGCTTCAACCTCATGATTATTAAATAATTTTAGTTAATAAGAAAAGCAAAAGGGGGCAGTCTGTTATAAAACCAGAAAAAAATCGAATCGTATATTTCATTTTTGTTATTCGATTGATATTCGAATGAATATATTCGAAATGAATAATAAAGCGATATTACAAAATAAAGTTCTAAGAGTTTTAGAATTTAAATTCAATTAAAACAAAAATCTAATTACAAAAAAAAATTGTATTTTCTTTCTTTCCTTCATTTGAAAATCCGTTCTTCTAATTGTAGTAAAGAAATCAGTTATTTTTACTAAAAAAAACAGCTTTTCTTAATTTAATGTTTTTAAAGATATCTTAAAATCAGCCCCTATATTGTGGTATATAGAACCAAGATATATTTCAGAATTTTTTTTTATTTTAATTTTTTAAATTTTTTTTGTACAATATGTCGTGCCCAAAATGATAAATTAAGGAATACTCTTTTCTTATTCATTTTTTGAGTGGGAATAAATTCAGATTTATATTAAAAAAACAAATCCAGAATTTGGAGAAAATTATGGAACGTCAACTGAACGTGAAGAGTGAACTGTGAATCCGTCCGAAAAATAAATATATATCGAATTTAATTTATTACATAATTATAAATATCCGTTTTCAATTCTTTAATTCCAGTTTGCTTCATATAACATAAAAAAATTTTACTCATTATTTAGAATTATCTTATGAATTTAAAGATTAATAAAACATTTTTTAATAACAAATTTAAAATAATTATTGTTTTTAAACTTTTTACCAAGTAGTTTTGAGTGAGAGGTGCTTTTTTGATAATTCAAATTTAAATAATAATCTATTAAAAGAATGTTTTAATTAATATCAAGATGTAATAGCTGATCTATATTATAAGGATTAATAAAAAAAAAGTTTATTAATAAAATAGAAATAAAAAATTTTTGGGAAGGTGTTGTTAAGGAACGTTCCGAAAATAGACGGAACAAAAACGAGAGTGCAAAAATGTCTTTGTTCTGGGCCCATCATTCTAATAAATGAATTTTCAGTTTAAGTAAATATTATTCGCCATTAGAACCCCCACTCATCATTTCCTGAAAGATTGCGTTTAGGTAAAAACGAACTAAAATTTAAAGGATTGTGTTATGTTAAGAGACCTACCGCATAATATTAATTTCATTATAAGCATAATTTTTGTTTTATCGCCAATAAAAATGATAAAGATCACGTATCAAAATATACATTTATGAGTGTAATAAATTTCGACATCGAGCTTAAAATTTTTTTTTAGTATGGTGTTTATAAAGTTTTCTGGGCAAAATATAATAAGGAGAAAAGCAAACATAAAAGACACAATATAAAAATATTTGTCCTTGAGCTAAAAATACATTTGGAAAAAAATTGTTTTTGAGTTATCTGAATTTGATCTTTAATTTCATCACCACATATCTTGTTTTTTTTTTAAAAAAAAGAGTATTTTATCAACTAAATTTTGCTGAATAACCATTACAATATCATTTAAATTTATAAAAGGAACTTTAAAAACGAAAGATAAATATAATATCTAAATAGCTATTGATTCAAAATATAAGGAAATTTATAGCATGCTGCATTATTCTTACTTTAAACTGTGGTTTAAAAAAAAATTTTAATCTGATGTCCAAGTCCAGTCATGGTGGGATCTCTTTTAAAAATCTGGTTAAATCAGGCCATACCTAAAATGGACTTAATTTAAATTTATTGAAACTCTATTAATAAAATGGTATAATAAACTTTTATATTTTCCTCGTGTCTTCATTTTGGCTTAAATTTTATGTTTTTAAAACAATAAATTTTATTTAGTTTAGTAAGAATTTTTGTGGTTTAAATTTTTTCAAATCTGAGGCAGAGCTAGTGAGTAATTTTTTTTAAAATAAAATAATGTTTTTTCTTTAAAAATATATGATTTCTTTGGGATTATCAGAACAAAGTAATTAATGATTTTAAATTTTTTAATCTTATAAAAATGTGTTTAATTTTCTAATTTTTCAGGAATATGATGAACAGAACGTCTGGGAAAATTATGGAGCCTTATATGCCCAAAAATGATTTTTTTTATAATTTTTTAGGCCTAAGTTTGACTTAGGACCAACTTATAGGGCTAAATTATTTTATACATCCTTATGATATCCTCACTTTTTTGTAAAATTGGAGGAGCAGCTAAATCACATCTATTTTTAAGGACACTACTACCATCACCCC